GACAGTAAACTCAAGTCTCTACCTGTGACCTTAAGTTTCTAATGTTCCTTCTGTTAAACATGAAGTCTCAAAACTGGAGTTTTGGGAACAGAAGGAACATTTGAGTGTAATGGAATCTAGTGCTTCACTAGATGGCACCAAACCATTGCCCTAAAACAGCACTAATGCAAGCGAGTTGGGGGCAAAGGAATGGAAAGTCAGAAATCGTTATTATTATCTATATTAAATATCTATTTGGTGTTCTTAGGGGTGTGTACAACTTTAACCATGTTTTCAGTCAAATTCTCACATACATACAGTTAACATTCTGCATATCTAGTAGTGTGACATGATTCAATTAAGACAAGCGGACTTTATTCTCTTCTCTTACATTGGAGTACATTAAGCACTTAGAAAAGGCCATTACTGTACCTCATTCAGGCCAGAGGGTGCATTGTTGTTGAGAGAGTTTCCCAATTTCTTCAAACCTTTAATTAATTCTGTAGTAGAAATAAGCAGAATAGTGCCCATGGTGCCCTAGCGGTCTTGAAGACTTATGTTTCCTTTAGGGCCTTATTTACTATTTGAGGGTAACTTAGATCTTGCAGGCAATAAGACTAGCTTGTTTTTTAGCATCTTAAAATTCATGTGATGTACCCTGTGACATTTATTTAAAACCAACCCCCTGAAAAAGTGAGGGAAAACACATTCATCATTGTTGTAATTTTATTGTTTCTCTCTAATCCATTTCTACCCTCTGCTAATTGGCCCTGTGGGTTGAGAAGCATTTGTGTAGAGTGAAGATGCCATTGATGAATAAGTCTTCTTGTTCTTGTTACTATATTACCAATTCTGTAATTATCCAATGTCTCCCTCTAGATCTGAGCACAATAACAACTAGATTATAGACCCTTTTGGAGCAATTGAGCCCCTGATATGCTTTTCTTTTTATCTACCCTTCTGTTCATGGTCCTGAAGTTAACATCAGTTTTCTTCCCAAAGTCCATGCATTCTGATATATGGATAATGAGACACTTATGAGATAATATTAGACTTGTAGTTAAAGGGTTCTCAGAGATGAATTGATCCAAACTGTACCAATTGCCAGGGAATGTAAATACTAAATTGAGTGTTAATCAAACTATAACCTACTGATACACTCAAAGTTATATGTTTGATTTCTTCTGCAGTTGTGTATATACATACATACATTTATGCAATATATGTAATATATACTACCAGACATCTTCTTTCAAATAGAGTGGCTCTTTTAAAAAATAGAAAATATGAGGATTCATTTATTTATTTTTTCAGTGACCATGTGGCTTTATATTTCACTGTATTAGGACTGTATAGCTTTGCCTGGATGTTTTCTACATTGTAATTAAGGGCTGTGGTCCAGGTGATAAAATATCCTTTTTCCTCAGGAGATGCTCAATAAGTGGTCAATTGACTTAAATGTGATGGGATAGTAAAATCTACCCAGTTCTTGAGATAAAAACCACAAAATAGTTAGATTCATTGTTGGTGGCAATGGCCTCTCTACTAAGTGAATAAGAAGCTGAGGGCTGCTAATAATCTACGCAGGCATTTGTGAAACATAGGAACTATTTTCAGTATTTTATAGAGTCATCTCAGTTAACTTATACAGCAACCATCTCATTAAATAAGAAAGTTGAATGTGGATTTTATTGCTGTTTGATATTTGTATTGTATTAGTTGCCACGTTTTATTTTAGATTAGCTAAAATAAAATAAATATTGATTAACTAATTCAGTTTATTTGTCAATCAAATTATTTCTAACATTGTGATCCACTGGAGAAAATTAATTGAAAAGATCCGTGATGTTGCAGTTATTAAGGATCAAGTCCTAAGCATAAGGACACTATACAAATATTATGCAAAGTTCAGTAGGAAGAATAAAAAGGATGAATATGGTCTACTTAGATTAACCCACTTGGTCCAAAATATCATTTTCAGTATTGGAAGATGCAATATGTGGGTGAGAAACAACAAACAAATGGGATTAAAAAAGAGCTGAGGAAAATATAGAACTATCCATCTGCAGTACAGATTATTTCCATCTAGTAAAGCAGACAGAATACCTGTAGAAGGAAAGCTCATTTCTAAAACTGAACAAATCCCGGGAGTTTTCTGTATTGTTCACTCAAAAACATAACTGACATACTTTAAGTTTCAGGGGGTTTACTAACTAGAATCATCCTATTGCCTGTCTTTGCTTTCAGTAGAGTGCATTTTTACTTAGCAGATGCTGGTTCACTACATGCAATGCCTATGGGCTTGGGTTGATTGTGATATGCTAGGAATAAAAAAGTGAACTGATTCTCAGGGCCTGGAATGGTTTCTCTATAACAAACGGGCCTCCTCCTCAAAAGTAAGTCAAAGCCCTACCCAGACAAATCCTACAGACTGTCTCTTGCAGAAAATCTTTAACCAGATATTTTATGAGTTAATGCAAAATGCATTGGGATATTTCTTTGTAACACCCTAAGTAATGTGCATATTGAGGACACTGGGTAATTCTTCATTTGAGATTTACTTCTAATCTTATTGGGTGGAGACAACATCTGGCAAGCCCTGTCACTAATATGAGCATTGAACTAAAGATATTTCTTGATATAAAAAAAATCAAATATAACAGCAGAATTTCCTTATGTAAGTAATGTTTACCTATTGTATATTAATCATAAACTGTACAACTTGAATTATAAAAGCAGAGCACATTAAAAAATTATTTAAGTGCTATGTTAAAGAAATGACTTTTCCCTTGCTTAGTCTCATCATGCCCTGCCATTTTGACTCAAATAGGATGTGGCTAAAAAGATGCATTTCTTGTTACAAGTAAAACAGATCATTCTCTGCTACTTGAAATGGGTAATGCTCTGTTGAGAAGCATAGAAACTATTTCTCTGATTCCTTATAGAGTAAATTTGTTCACCAGATATTTATTGAGTGTCTTTTCTTAGCCAGGCAATTTTCTAGGCATTGGAAGGTCCAACACATAGAGTGAACATGATACACATTGTTCTCTTGTCCTCGGAAAAAAAGTCTAGCAAGACACATCCTATTACACATGCAATGATAATGAAACAAGAGAAGTCCAATCATTAGTGAAATATCAGGGTTTGGAAGTGCCTGTTAAGGACACCAGCCTAGTCTGGGAGGGCAATGAATGATTCCAGCAAGACACAACATTTAAACTGAGACCTGACAAATGAATAGTTTATCACATGTGGCAGGTGAAAGTGTGTTGATGAAGGGAGGGTACATAGGGGAAGGAGTGTTTCAGGAGCAGGAACAAACAGTATCGTATAACTGCTCTATAGTAAGACCATGGAAGGCACACATGACTGACACTTAGTGTGTGAGGAGAGAAATGGCAAAACCTAAGCCTGGAGAAGCAGAAGGGTCCACACATGAAGGGTCACATAAGACATGGACTATATCCTATGACATAAGGAATCCATAGGATATTTTAAGAAGCTCAAAATAATTTCATATTTATACTTTAGAAAATCCCTTGGGAAATAATGTGCACGATGAGTTAGGAAGGAAAGCTGGAGTCGCAGGATCTACAGTATTACACATAGTTGATTGTTAGGAGACAAACTGTAGATGAAAGAGTGTAGACCGTGTTTGATGAGGAGTAAGGAGCTGAGGATCTTGGACATGTGTTTAGGCCTTCAGGTTTACCTTATTTCCTTCTGATTCACTTTGTTGGATTCTCTTAGAAATCCTGGTAGAATAACAGGGGAGCCTCTGATGTAGTAATATGCCACACTATTTTGATGCTATGATAACTGAATGTAACATTTTGCATTTTGGATCTCTTTTTATCACATGAAGCATATTTGTAAAACAATCTTTAAAATGTTCTTGTAAGCCACTCAAATTGTATTTTAAATGTTTACATTTGTTCACTGAAGTTTTCTTTAGTAGAAATAATCATTCTTTTTTAATGCTTTACTCCTCTTCCCAGTTTTTCTGTTCCACAAAAGGTTTTATTTTTCTTGAGAGAACACTTTATATAGGTATGGAGTTGCTCTCTTTGTCATGTCACATCATGCCTGCAACTAAAATACTGATCCTGAATAAACTTACCACTCCTCCTATTCAATTCATGGCTACTTGTTTATTTTACATTCAAGTTGCAGACTAGTCCCATGTTGACTTCGACTGAATAATTGGCTCATGGATGCCATGAAAGAGTTTGTAACTCAGACCAGGTTGGACCACACATTTTAGGAGGCAAGAACTAGAGTCCATGACCCAGGGCACACACTTGACTCCTTACACAGTGGCGAGTCCCTTTAAGTAGCTGCCTCCCTTTCATTTCTTCAGTAGATCGGAGCAGTTGATGACAATGCTGTAAATTGAAGGACCTGTTTCCGTTTGCTTTAATAATTGCTGTTTAACATTTGGTTCCAGGGTAACTTCCTTTTCCTTAGTCTCTAAATTTCCCTACTAACAACAACAACAGCAACAAACGTTTCTTTTCCCCCCGGCCAAGCGATGACTGATACCACGTATTGGAAAATAAAACGTATGTCCACTAGTGCAGTCAATAGAATTGACTGTATTTGCAAGACTACTTATGTGAAGCCACCAAATGATAACACAGTGCTCTAAAAATCAAGAAACCATTGGTCTAGCACAGAGTACCTAGACACGCTTAAGTCGTTAGGGGACACTTCACACTTAGGCTCTGATTTCTTACAATTAGATATATTGTATAAATACAGTCAACTCTATTGACTAGTGTAGAGTTGACTATATTTGCCAGACTACTTATGTGAAGCCACCAGTTCTCTAAACATCAAGAAGCCATTAGTCTAGCACAGAGTACCTAGACATGCTGAAGTCATTAGGGGACACTTCACACTTAGGCTCTGATTTCTTACAATTAGATATTTTATGATGCTTTATAAAACGTAAGAACACAATTTTCTTTGAAACTACATGAAAATGTAACTTAGACAAATGAAATTGACATACTCACTTAGTTTTTTCATGCAGTCACGAAGTCTGGTTTCCAAGCTCAGCACTCTTTGATGTAGCTCCTCATAGTCATAGGCACCAATTTCCTCCTGAATTCCAGTGAGGACAGCAGACAGATTCCGGATTTCCTCCTTGAACTGGGTGATTAACTTAGCATCTGTTTTATACTGTTCCAGCACGGGGATCAAGGGCAGGAGCTCATCCATTTTCTCTTTCAACTCCTGTGAAAAGCAGCCTATTGTTCTTGAGAGCCATTTAAAACAGATCATGCTGCTCTGTTCTTTTTATTATGATACTAAAGGAAATTATTTAAACAGCTTCAAAACTCCTTATTGATTTTGGTTGAAATTAAGTATTTTGTGAAAATTTAAGTGGCCATGTGATTATTAGTAGTAAGTCCATTTATTTCAGCTTTTCCATACAAAACCCTTTGTTTAAATGCTTAGATACTTTTCTGTAACAAATGTAGCCTTATCATAATTAGAAAAACTTCCTATGGTAGAAGCTATGGGTTATATACTATCTCATTTTCTGCTAAAATTTTATACAGGGAACAATGCATTATCTAGTTAGGAAATATAAGCAGAATCCATCTTCTAATTATGAATTAAGTTTGAATAACGTGATTGGAAATAGGTCAAATACCCTATAATTGCTCAGTTGAATCTAATCACTCATCTATCAAATATCCATGTTATGGGGAACATACAGACAATTTTGGATTCTGGATCAGCTTTTTTCTGACACTTAGAATTTTTCCATCTTGGCCATCTGCCAATTTTGTTTTCCTTTGTTCTCAGGTATTCCTAGATCTTTTTAATATACATTTTAAAACAACTTCATTATCAAGGTAGGTTCAGTAAGCATAATAAATCATGTGAAGCTTCCCAAGGCTCAAAGAAATGTATGCTACTGTTTCCTATTTTGAATTATTACCTATACTTCGACTCCATTTATCTTAACATAGATACTTTAGAGGTCATTATGTAAGGCAGAATTGCTTGCCCCTGTAGTGAATTAATTCTTTAAGAACCAAGGTGCATAGTTTATGTAACATATGAGCCAGTTACACAGAGTTGTTTGAAACTGAAGCATTGATTTTCATCAGACAAACACATACACACACACACACACACACACTTCGTGTGTGTGTGTGTGTGTATGTGTGCGTGTGTTACATATATATTTCAATAGGCATGTTTATATATATATATATATTTTAGCAGTTTGATTCCATATTGTGAATTTATGGGAAATAATATCATTTGTGGAAAGAATTGTCCCTCTTATGATTATTTGAGAATAATACATAGGTGCTGTCAGAAATCATACTGTACACTCACTAATTTAAGGAGCTGAAAATTGCATTTTTAAAATTACATTCAGGAGACGTATTACTATAAATGCATTAAAATAGCAGGAACTCCCATTGCTGCCCTGATTTATGGGCTTGAGTTTCTTGTGGGGAAATTTCCAACTTCCTCTGTAAGTTCAGGATCTTTGAATTTGTTCACATGTACATATTGAGTGGGAGGCTAAGAAGAGACTTAATAATGAGAAAGATTCCTAAATATCACAGTCAAAAGGCAGAATTGCAGAGCTTTGCTCATTTTGTCAGCTCATTTGGAAATAGACTTACTAGTTAGAGTATCTTGTGGCATCCCTAAAGGAAGACACAATTGTTTCATTAGGATTTTAATGAGAATATTTCTGTTAGTATCAGTTTCTGCACGTTATAACAACCGTTACAATGAAAGGTTTTACATTCTACTATGGGCATAATTAAAAGCAAGCAATGTGATATCAAAATGTTGGTAGCTTTTCTTCTCCCTCAATTAAAAACTAGGTATTTATATTCTTTAATCTTTTCAACATTCATAATTTGATTATTGGCAATCAATTGTGAAGCTCTTGAAATTTGTATGAGAGCATTGGAAAGCCCACCCAATGCTCAAATCAAATACTTAAAAGATTAAAATAGAATAGCATAGATCTTTGTTTGCTAATCTCTTCTAGAATTTCACTTTCTACTATGTTGCTTTCACAGCCAAGTTCTCAGCTAGAGTAGAGGCAACATCAATCTCTTCATATAAGAATGACAATCTCAAGTATAGTAGTTGGCATAAGCTTTCTATCTGAAAGAGTGTAGAAAACAAAACCTACTGAGTGTTCTTGAAAAGATGGAAATTGCATATCAGAAGAAGATTTTTTAAAAGTGTTCTTCAATATTGAATTTACTTTGGAATGTTCCATTTCCTCTTTTCCAGTATAGTACCAGCACTTAGAGCAAAATCCAACTCACGGTAGGATTCAACAAACAAGTAAATTCCACGAATATATATTGAGCACATAATTATTATTATTTGTAATTCAGAGACCTAAAGTCTACTTGGAGAAGCAATGCAGCATTAATATTAGGAGGTATAGGTCTGGAGTTGAATTTTTTGAGTTTGAATCTTGGCTCTCATGCATATTAGATATATGTCTCTGGATAAACTACTCAACCTCTTTGACATGATTTGACTCTGTGTCCCCACCTAAATCTCATCCCAAATTGTAATTCCCACATGTCAGGGGAGGGACCAGGTAAAAGGCAATTTGATCGTGGGAGCTGTGTGTTTCATGCTCTTCTGATACTGAGTTCTCATGAGAGCTGATGGTTTTAAAGTGTGGTAATTCTGCATTCATACTCTCTGTCTCTCTCTCTCTAGCCTACTGCCTTGTGAAGAAAGTGCCTGCTTCCCCTTCTGCCATAATTGTAAGTTTCCTGAGGCTTCCCCAGCCATCCAGAACTGTAAGTCAATTAAACCTCTTTCTTTCACACATTACCCAGTCTCAGGATAGATCTTTATAGCAGTGTAAGAATGGACAAATACATTCTTTGTGCATCAGTTTCTTTATCTTTAAACTGGATATGAAAATAGTACCTGAGTTACAAGATTGCTGTGAGGATTATACAGTTAATATACTGAAAGTGCTCAGAAGTGTGCCTTGAATATGTATAATTGTTCCAAAAAATAGCTATTGTTGTAATCATTACTGTTATTTGAATTTTGACATATAGCTTCAGCATATACTTGGATTACATGAACTAGGAAAATCCAAACCATTATGTCACATGGTGCTGCGGCCTGTAAATTGCTTTCTTATTGGTAGCCTGGCTAATTTGATGCTAGGCAATTTATAGACTAAGGACAATGTTTCTTTGCATTTATCTCAGCTTTGTATCTTTTTTTGTTTCTTTGTTTTCTGTCTTCTCTCAAAAGTTCTCCAAGATGCACATACTTCATTATGTATTCCCCAGCCCTGTCAACCCTGACACTCTCAAGCTGTCCTTGGGCTTTGCAGAATTCTCACTGCATTGTCCATCTGCACCAAGCAATCTGAGCTCCTCTCCTTCTGGTTAGTTCCTTCTAGGAATGCTCTTCCCACAACTAAATGCCAGCTTACTATTTTCTACTTTGCCGATGACCTCAACCTTAGGTTCACATTGTTACTTTACCGCCTACATGCTAACTCTGAGCATTGAAAATTGACACAGAAAATCTTTTGGTTTTCTTGACCCCCTATAATTTAGTAGTGGAGGGGTAGGGTCACTAGTCCCAAACTGCTTTCCTGTAATTCTTCTCCTTTTTAAAACAAAATTAATTGCTCTTCCCTTTGTGCTCTTAAGTAATGTTTATGCCTCTACTCACTATCAATTCACCTGTGTGTTAGCTGTCTTTCGTAGAAGAGAGATTATGTATAATACATCCAGCAGAGGGGCCAGCCGTACTTTGTGTGTGGTTTGGGCTCAATAAACACTGCCTAAAATTAACTCTTTTGCTCTTCAACCTCATATACTTATGTTATCCATAAGTTTCCTATTTATCCATTTCACTCATACTTTCATTTTCAATAATATTTAAACTTATTATTGTATCTTCTAAGTCTTGCTCTGATTTGTCCTAATATCTTAACCTGCTGGCCCTGTTTACTTCTCTCTTCAATTTAAATCTCATGATTAATCATTTCCATTCCCTCTCTTTTCAATACCCTCAACTTTCTCTCCCTCTTTTACTCTGTTATGACCTTCTTGGTAAAGCTTTAAAACCAGTTCAGGGTATAATTCTCTTCCACACCTCTCTACTCAGTCTCTTGAGTACCACTGAAGAAAATTACAAAACCATGAAACTTTCTGCCACATTAAAATGTGTTATGCAGAGACTCTGTTACACGTTCCTTGCTAGCTCCCCACCTGCCACCATTAGGTGCAGGAAGCGCTCCTTTCCTTGTCCAAGGGCTTGAATTCAGATCCACTCCCTCAACATCAGCAGTGACTCTCACTTCCTAATTGGCAAGAAAAACAGAGGCTATTAAGTGGGCAACAACAGTGTATTTTATGAACTATGGGCTGTGCCTTGGAAAGGCAGATGATTTACTTTTAACAGAAGCTCAAACTGAATTATCAGACCAAGAGTTTTTCCTTAAAATTCATAACTCTCTCATACATAGTTAACAAAAGTCCCATAGCATAATTTATTTCTCCATTTTCAGTATTCGTAAATAATTGCTAATAAAACACTTAAAATCTAGAAAAAGACTTGATTTGTATAAAGTATAAAACAACTCTATATGCTCATATTTATGGCATAGTTATTTCTTTTAAAAATTTATGTCATCTACATCTTTCTTCACATTAGCAGGGCATGAACCCATTAGAGAAATATTTATAATTTAATTATGACTTTTCCTTGGAGTTTCCCTTTGTTTCAGAAAATCCACCAAACTCTACAAGGATGAGGCTTTTTCATAGCAAGACTTCTATGTCTTCCTGTCAGCTGCTAATGGTCAGTTTCAGTGGAGAGATGACTGAAATCCTCCATGAGTCTTATACCTTGCATATATGGGCCAATGAACGGTCATTTCTAGCTGAGTGCTCCACTGCTGTCCATCCTATTAGAGTCTGATTTGGATTGACAAGATTGCAGAAGTCAAACCTACCTGAAAATGCTTGGTCATAAGTGTCTTGCGATCATCTTCAATCTGCCGAAACTTTGCCTTCAGGCCTTTCATTTGGGTTTCCATTTTTAAAACATATTGGAAATCTCTCTGAGTTCTCAAGTTTAAGACCTCAATAGACTGGGACATGTTCTGAACCTGTTAAACAAGAATATTGTCTGTAATTACTATCTGTTTGCAGGTTTGTGCAATCATGAAGAAACAGCAAAAATGTCGTTAATATAAAAACTAGAAGTGCCAAATTCATAATTGCATTTCCATATGACACATTTTCAGAAGAACAATTCTTCATGATAAACATTTAAATAATTCAGCAAGAGAAAATTAGACAGGAAATTTAAAAATGGGCATTCCAGCATTAGAACTGACTGAATATGTTAGTCTAATACATTAGAAAAATAAGCTTTAAAAATAGGTTTTTCATTTTAAGGGTTTGTAAGCTTAAAAGACCCCAACATGTTAAATGTCAAAATAAGTTGTTTCAGTAAGTACTAATTCTGACTTTTTAAATATCTAGGATGTTTAGCAATTACGGATGGTAGTGAAGTGTCCAAGAGGAGTAGAATGCATTCATTCTAGTACAATAAGTTCTTAATGTATCTAAAGTAGTGCCAGGGGAGAGGTGGAACTGACCAAGACAAGTTATAGCAGTGCTGGAACACTGCGTAAATTCAACAGCATAGTGTTTAAGGGACCCAGAAAATGGTAACTGTATCAAGTGCTTCGTAGACAGGTGTTAAACACATTTTAAGCCAATAGCGCCATCCCAGGTTCACTGAACCCTGGGCTATTTAGAAGTAAAAAAGAGGTAACCTATAAAATATGCAGAAATGAAAGGGAAAAAATGACTGGTCTAATTGTTATGGCAGCAAAAAACTGAAAACAAAGTTAAAGCCACTAATAATGGGGAGCTGTTAAATAATTAGAGAAATAGAATATGAATGATCCATTATAAAGAATAAGATAATCTCTGTACTGTTAGTACTCAAAGCAACAACTTTCGTATCACCTAGGAGTTTGTCGGAAATGCAAGATCTCAGAAATGTTCATCCAGAACTACTGAATCAAAATCTGCATTTTATCAAGATTCCCAAGTGATTCCTATGCCTATCAAAGTTTGAGAAGTACTGCTCAACATGGAAAGATTTCAATGAGAAAAGCAAATGTAAAGATCTTTACATAATTTGATCTTTTTTTTTTCTTTTTTTGTCTCACTCTGTCACCCGGACTGGAGTGCTGTGGTGTGATCTTGGCTCACTGCAACCTCTGTCTCCTGGGTTCAAGCAGTTCTCCTGTCTCAGCCTCCTGAGTAGCTGGGACTACATTCGCTCGCCTCCATGCCCAGCTAATTTTTGTAATTTTTAGTAGAGACGCAGCTTCACCATATTGGTCAGGCTGGTCTCGAACTCCTGACCTCAGGTGATCCATCCATCTTGGCCTCCCAAGTGCTGGGATTACAGGCATGAGCCACAGAGCCCAGCCAATCTGTTTATCCTAAATCAAATACACATACATGCACATACATATAATCAGTAAAAAGTTATTTTCATTGACAAATGTGAATTACAAAGGCATGACTTGTTCAGGCACAAATTTTTGTCATCAGATAAAGTCACAACACTTAGTGGACCAGCTGTAAAGGTCCCATAGCTGATACATTCCTTAGAACTATAATAGTGGTAAAAGGCAATGAATACTGCCATGGCCTGCCTCAGTTCTTTGCCTTTTTTTCACCCTTTTCTGTTCCCTATGTTGTCTTGATCCATCATCTTGCCCTGTTTGAAGGTTGTTCTTTTAGGACATATTACAGTCTGGCTTATCTTAAAACTAACTGTGTTATGTGGGTGTGGGGTAGGGGCAGGGAAGTGGCTCTCCCTCTGTGAGCTCCATGAGGTTACAAGCTGTGTCTTATTCATATCTTCCATTTCCAAGACTTTACACAGAACCAGGCACAGAATAAGTGTTCAATAAATATTTATTGAGTAAAATTATCTTGGGTTTGTAGTGGTAATAATAAGTAGTTAGAATTTTAAGAAGAGTCTTCCCCCTTCTGTCTCTGGTTAGGCAACAGCATTTCAGGACTATAAGTATTTCTTAATTTTCTAACAGTTTTATATTCAGAAAGCTTTGTTTTTAATTTTTTAAATATTTAGTGCAGCACAAAATTACTAAGACAACATTGAAAACATGGTAACGCCATCGTGGATAAATGCAATGCAACGTAATTTTCTAACTTCATTTGTGGTTAAGCATGAATACGGAAAAGCCATTTGCATTAAAAAATCTGTCTACCTATTTAAATACAGCATTTGTCTGTGAAGACATCTATCATTAGTATAACTGATATCCTGCTAATAATTCTATGTAGCTGGACCAAGTCCATACAATTAGAAAATAATGGGCAAGATAAGGCATTCTGGATAGAGTTAAAATAGCCTGTCTTTATTTTTGCCTCGGACTCACCCTATAAAGTAAATTTTCAACTTCATTTGTGTTATGGGGAAATGCACTGAGAGAGTTTTTGCGGAGAGTTGATTGTGATCTATATTGCAGAATCATGTGTAATTAGAAGAGGTACATTTGGGGTAATGGCTAGAGATAGAGCTGCCTAATTGGGCAGCATTTGGCTCCAGGTTGTCTTAAGCATTTCCTGCTGCCTGTACCTAGGATTGTTTAGTTTCCCAATGGCTATGGAGGCCCACGGAGCATCAGTTTCCTGATGGTACAGGAGACTGGATACCCATGATGACTTGTGTAGGGAAGGAGACCTGTCTGCTGTATTCCCTCTTTTTGTCAGCTTATCTCTGCAGTTGTTCTGTGATTCAGCTTTCCATAGGTGTTTCTGTGCTTAGGCTCTCTCTGCATAGTTTGACAAGCTCATTGTCCCCTTTCTTAAATAATTCTTTTGGAATCTTTATTTATTCCTGTTCTTTGTATAAATAAAATATCTGGGGCTTTTTTGAACTTAAACACAAATTAACTTAGATTTTCACTCTCATAATTAGCGAGGCGGCACTTGAAAAACCAAAGTTCTATTGATTAAATATGTTTGGATAACTTGGGTTTAACATATATAAACCCATTTCCTGACTGTGGGACTTAACAAAACCTTTAGTAGTAAACTGTGTATTAGAAATCTTCAAGAGTGAAGTATCATGTACAGTGTTTCTTAAACTGATTTTATTGGTGAGGATGTTGGCAGTATCCTATTCAAAAAAATCACACTTTAGGAAATATTGACTTAGATAATACAACACATCTTTAACTGTACAGGGAAGCTATATAGTTAACAAACATATACTTTTTTAGGTGAGCAATTTCAGTTTTGGCATACTAAGACCTGAAATACTATGAAACCAATTATATTTTTTCTAATATTCAATTATATAAATACTTGTTAAAAATGTTTAACAGAGCATCACTTAAATAAGTATGGATATACCTGTGGCATTTTGTGTGACACTGGTATAGCATTGACAAGATGCAGATGGATGTTACAGCCCAGAGCTTACTGATTGAGTGACACTGGACAACCAGTTTTCTTTTATGTAAATTTAGATAACTACTCTGTCTATAAGGATTGAAAGAAGTGGATACAAATGATAAAATATACTAAAAAGGGAATTCTTGTTGTAAATGTTGTTTTTGTTAACGATATTCCCTTATATACAACTAAATCAATCTTTTTGGTTAAAAGTGAAGGAGGCACTTAGAGGTCATGCTCTTGTTTTCCCTTTGGTGTCTTGGATACATGTGAAACTAGAGAGAGGACAGCCAGGGACTGGATCAGTCTGAAATACCATGGTGTCTCAGATGTCTTTTCTCCTCTGGATCAGTGCAGAAAACCAGTGCTACCTAACCTCCTTCAGGCCACTGTAAAAGAGTGTACACAATTTAGGATTCCTCCATTGCCCTAAAACTACCATATGGTAAATTTAATATATCTACCTTGTAGTGACTTCAATTTTGTTAATAAATTTTATTTGTGTTTTTTTGTCATTTATGTATTAATAAATTTTTAAAGGCATGATGTTCTAGAGTTTCTTTAAAACATTCAGACAAATTACATGTTGGATGGATAGAGTGGTCATATTAATTTCTATATTGTTTTCAAACAACCAGTGAAATACTTTCATATATTTTCGTTTTATTCATCTTTCACTAATTCCCAGTTTTATCACAGATCTGAAAGAAATTTTACTTTGAACCTGTAAATGGAATTATCCACTTCTGACATTTGTACTTTATTTGAATTTTTTCAACTGATATTTGAAGACATGTTTGAATCTATGTGTAGGTGTATGTAATGTAAAACAGCAACACAGAAGATAAAGTATGGTGTCTAAGAAAGTGTTTCACCTTAATTCATGCAGAAAAACATATATTTCTGGGTAGAAAAGAAGATTAGTGAAAAATGTTGATTATCTGAAGGGAAATACAATTTAACAGAAAAGCAAAATTGGATGTAAAAGATTAGATCATTTTACTAATGTAAATAATTTCCCTGGTAAACAAACACAATTGTCCTATATGTTTGAATTTTTATTTAAATAAAAAAATCAACATTGGAAGATAAAACGCAAGAATAAAAATAATTCTCATTCTGTCACCTAGGCTGGAGTGTAGTGGAGTGTTCTCGGCTCACTGCAACCTCCGCCTCCCAGGTTCAAGCGATTCTCTTGCCTCAACCTCCTGAGTAGCTAGGATTACAGGTGCTCACCACAACACCCAGTTAACTTTTGCATTTTTAGTAGAGATGGGGTTTTGCCATGTTGGCCAGGCTGTTTGCAAACTCCTGACCTCAGGTGATCCACCTGCCTTAGCCTCCCAAAGTGCTGAGGTTATCTGGCTTTGTCATGGTTTCTAAGAGTTTAGATGCATGTTAGCTGGAGTCACTATTTTGAATGAAAATGACATATACACTTGTCGGATGACAGATATTGAGGGAGCCGAAAGAACGGGATCTTACTATAAAAGGAGGCTTAAGAAGAAAGAGCCAATAGGTGATGATAACTTCAAGAAGAGGGGAAGGAGAAACAGACTAAACTTTGTATAAACACATGAAAAAAATCTTAAAATCTTAGAGTTTCAATATACTTGCAAATAATATACACAGAGGCAACTTATTTTTGCTATATAGTAGTGGAAGAAAGTCACCATGGCAATCTGAAATTGTATAAACAATGAGTATCTATTAAAAAACTTGATTTCATTTTTCTAGCTTCTCTTTATTTTTTGTTAAAAAGTTTCTATTCAATGCCATAAATGTGTGGGTGGATCATAAAAATGACATCACACAGAGTGAATCGTTAAGTGTGGCGTCCTCTAAAACACATACTACCTAATATATCTTATAATTCCTGATGACATATAAAATCCAAACATGTCATCTTTCCATAATCTGGCCACCCCAGCTGTCTTACTACATTTAGGGCCCAGCACAGTGAAAATCTGAGTGAGAATAATGGACAGAACCATTCATTGGTTTTCCTCCCTCCCAACTAAACCTGAATAACTTTTCATGAGCTCACATTTATCTGTAAAAGAGAATAAATCCAAAACATTCTACATTTGATTGTTATGAATCCATATTAAGTAAATTATGGAGAGAATGTTATTGAATGAAATTGAAGAGCTTAATGTTAAAAGGAATGACTTGGAGAATGAAGATAAACATATGGAATTATTCATTATCTGTCCAGATAGCTTGCATGTTGCATGTAATTATTTTAACTTTTTTGCAAGGTTGTTATGGGATCCAAAAGTATGAGCTCCAAGAGTCTAGTGTGATGCTGAGCGTCGAGGCTGAATTTCTGGCATCAGAATAAATTGCTTTTTTTTGTTGTTGTTCCTTAATGAGAGAACAACTAGAGATTAAGGTATATGGTAGAGAGCCAGTCTTAAAGTGTCAAGGTTAGAAAAATTAAAAATTCACAGAAATCGGACAAGGACAGCTTGAGGTAGCCCTTTCAAGGACAGGAAAAAGCTTATTTGAGAAGGGGAAGAAAAATCAAAAGAATCCTCTTCACTATTACCAGCTCTACCATATCTCCTTTTCAAAGAATGGTCGATTTTACTAAAATATGCATAGGGGACACAGGACACCTACCTTTTCCAGTAATTGGCGAAGTTGCCTGCTTTTGGCATCCCGGGAACACAGGTTTTGTTCCGGAGCAACAACTGTGCAAATGCACCGCCCATCAGGATCCTGAGCTGAGCTGTACACCTGCCACCCTTCTTTAGGACTAATCTGAGTCTGAGGAAACCAATGGGAAACACACAAAACACAAACTCCCGTTATAAGACAAAGAGAGCATTGGTTTGTAGCATTTTAAGCAAAACACCTTTTTTGACAATTTAAGTTTATGTTTTCATTCTTTAAAGTTAGGAGAGAGATATTAAACACTTTACATAGGCAGCATAGCTTCATTCAGTATACCCTCCTTATCAATCTCCGAAACAAAATCCTTTCTCGTCTTTAGGTGCTATATTAGTAACTGATTTTGATATCATACTATTTCCTAATGCTTTTTTTCATATTGTGACATTTTAATTCAACTTTAGAAGCATCTAGTAACCACTTAATCACATATGGCTAGTCTTTCTGCATATGATCTTCTCAACAGTAAATGGCAATTACTACTACTAATATATTATTTTCTAATTATAATTCTTGCATGATATTCTGAAACAAAGTCCTGTTGCAAGGAGGTTTTCCATGTGTTGAAGACTTAATAAAGTAGGAAAGATACCATTGATGATACAAGGTAAAAATAATTAGACCAGTACTGTTTTGCAAGAAACGCAGACTCAGAGGACTTGGAGTTTTTGGCAGAGTCTGCCAAATTGATTTTCCCAATAAATTCTGTGCACGTATCACCTACCTTCTTAGAACTCAATTGTGAAGTGGTGGTATTCCAGTTCTACTGCAGTTTATCCCTGATTTATGTTTCTAGATGTATCTTCTGTACCACCCAGCAGAAACCTTTACTCTAACCAGATTGATCTGTGTGTATCATGCAAGCATGCTATGTTGACTCATGTCTTCGTATGTTGCTCATTTCATTTTTCCTGTTTGGAATGCCTCCTTTATAAACCATCAATTTATTCAGCCCTTGTGATTTCTACCTGTTGTGAAGAAATTGCCTGTTCTATTCACTAAGTATTTAATGTATATTTTCCAGAATTGTCATTTGCCTTTCATATATCTCATTTCAACAGTTAGCTTACATCCAGCTTTTTGTTTTGTTTTATTTTTTGTTTGTTTTCTTTTGACACAAGGCCTCACTCTGTCGCCCAGGCTGGAGTTCAGGGGTGAGATCATAGCCTGCTGCAGCCTCCTGGGCTCAAGCGATCCTCCCACCTCAGCTGAGATCATGGCTCACTACAACCTCTGCTTCCCATGTTCAAGCAATTCTCCTGCCTCAGCCTCCTGAGCAGCCGGGATTACAGGAATGCCCCACCATGCCTGGCTGAATTTTGTATTTTCAGTGGAGATGGGGTTTCGCCGAGTTGTCCAAGCTGGTTTTGGATTCCTAGGCTCGTGTGATTCACCCAGTTTGGCCTCCCAAAGTGCTAGAATTTCAGGCATGAACGACTGCACCCAGCCCAGCTATTAGAAATGTAAATATTTCCCATTTGCCCTATCAAGTAAACTTTATCAAGCACAAAGATGAGCATTATTATTTTTTTATCAAATCATTTTTTCAGCAAGAACGTTAATAGACTTCCAAATAATGTACACCAAAGAAATTTATTTTCATTATATGGCAGTGGAAGAAAGTTACTACATGTAGATTTCAAATTCTATAAACTAGAAATGTCTGTATTAATAATCTTGATGGTTTTGTTTTTCTAGCTTCTCTTAATTTTCCATAGGAAATTTCTTTCATTATACTGACAGAAGCTATTTTAGTTGAGATGGGTTTCTCCATGTTGGCCAGGCTGGTCTCGGACTCCTGATCCCAGGGGATCCATCTGGCCTTGGCTTCCCAAAGTGTTGGAATTACAGGCGTGAGCCACCACACTGGGCTGGGAACAAATTCTTAAAGGAACTAAACCACGAACCAGGCTGACTTCTTTTTCCACTGATTTGCTATAAGCTGTGGAGCCTTCTTTCTCTAGAATTCACAGCACAACAGACACAATCTCCTGCATATTTTGTGACAGGTTCCAGCTCATAACATGCCATAAACCACCACACAGGTCTTTTCCTTTTGAAAGCTTAAATGATAACTACTTCAAGGTACTGATAGGTCTTCCAGCAACAATCATGGACTAATATTGGGGATGTTAAAAATGATAAACTCAAGAAACTCATGAAGAGGCCATAGTCATTGTCCTTGATCTGTTATGTAAAGCAAATGGTGCCAGACATATTGTTTGAATCTCTTATTTTCTAACTCTTTTTTTTTTAAATTTAGTTCATAGAAATTTCCAATGGGGTCAGACTCATTAACAGTCTCCACATCCCTTCTTCCTAGCTCTTATGCATGAATATTCAGTTAGGATAGAAAGATGTACTTAAAATTATACATTATCAAAATTAGATAAGATCTTAGAGATTACTGGGTTATTCTTTTAGTATTTTTTAATGCAGACTACCCACAGAATGGAGATAGAAACAGCATAGCAGAATGATTTCAATGATATAATTAAAGGTTCAAGTTGAGTAACGGTATGCAATTGATATATCTGGACATAGGCCCTGCAGTTTTAGCTGGACCTCTCCAAACGCTGGACACAAATCTAAAATATTTCAGACAATTAAGGCTTGTCACTAGGATAAATTAAGCTATTGGACTAAGGAGCAGGAGCTACCCAATTATAATATTAAAATATTTTAACAACAAGCCAAACACTGATTATGAAACCTGGCAGCATTAATATTGATGTGCACTTGCCAAGCGTTTGGCTAGCTAGTGTGGAGCTGATCATGACAGAGTTCCACGTCAGTTGCTCTCTGGAACCAGAGAAGTGGGAAAGGTGAAGAGGGTTTAATGTTCATTTAGCATTTCCCCTGAAGTGTCAGTTCAATATAAGTAAAGAGTCCAGACTTGTTTGAACTTCCAATTGTCTTATTGTAAGAGTCAGTGAAAAAAGCCATGACCTCCTCTAATACAGAGTTACTCTGAATGATCTAAACTATAAAAAGTCACCTTTTTGACAAGAAAAAGGTAACTCAAAAGAGCAAAAACCTAATAGAAAAGATGAGTGCTTGACAGTCCTGTGGGTTTTGTTAGAGACCTCTCTGTTGGGGTCAATGATAAATAGAAGAAGCTTTATGAGTATTTCTAGTGTTCTCTTTTAGAGAACCTATGCTGGCATTGAAAAGAGAATCAAAATAAAACCAGCTAAGACCTTGAATGGAAGGACATAGTTAGATGTTTTTTGGATACCCATAAGAAAAGACTTGCTCCAATTTTAACTTATAAGAGCAATTATTCCAGTGTCAATAAAACATGCAATAGTAATAGCCATCATTAATGGAGTTCTATTCATTACTTGGCAGTTCATATGTGCTATTGCTTTTGAATATCATAATATACCTATGGACTAGGTGGTGTTATTCTGCCCATTTTTCAGATGAGGAAACAGAGACAGGAAGGAACTTGCTCAAAGTCACACAGGGAGTATCAGTGAGTAGGGGGATTTGTGTAAATCTACATTTTAAGCAAACCTGGGACTTGTACTCAGTCTTATTTCAGAGATTTAAACTTTTTTTTTTTTTTGAGATAGGGTATCTCTCTGTTGTCCAATTTGAAGTACAGCAGGGCGATCTCAGCTCACTGAAACCACTGCCTCCTGAGCTCAAGTGATACTCCCACCTCAGTCTCCTGAGTAGCTGAGACTATGTAGACAGACATCATCATGCCTAGTTAATTTTTGTATCTTTTTTGGTGATGGAGTTTCATCATGTTGCTCAGGCTGGATTCAAACTCTTGGGCTCAAGCAATTTGTCCACCTCAGCCTCCCCACAGAGATTGAAATTTAACCACCACACTACACCATCAATTATTTTAGTCCCCTTTCATACATAATGATTATAACGTAGGGATTATTTTCTGAATGGCTGTGAGGCCAGTGCTCAGACCTGGAAGGTGCATATAGTTTATTGGTACTCAAAGCATTAATAATCACAGTGATTACTGATGCAGTTCTCTTCGAACGTTTTGTGTTAATTGGCAGAACTAAATGAAGTATTTAGCAGTTTTTAATATTGTAAAACTCATAAAATATTTAAGAATGCTCTAATTAGAATTAAAATGATAATTTTAATTGTATTTCAAGTCTGGATTCTTTGCTTATAACTTAATTACAAAGCTGTGCTTTATAAATATAAAGCTACTATATGACAGTTCTAAAGCTTCAGGGCCTTTGTAATGTGAAAGAAGGATCTTGAGGTTTGACAGGTAAAAGTAAAAAATATTCAAACTACCTTGCATTTCAATAGATTTTTTTGCTTATAAAATCTCTTCTCTTGTTTTATTCTTACTTCTCTTGAACCAACTACTCTTAGAAATAGACAGTACTTTTATTTACTTATGAGGAGATTGGAAACTAAGACTCAAAGAATTTAAATATATTTTTCTAAGTTATCCATTTAGTTACTGTCATACAGAGGACTTATACCAGTTTTCCCCAATTTTTAGCCCAGAGCTTTTTATGCTCATCCTCTTTGGATAAATGTAAATAGACCATCTATGTCCATTCATCAGTAACCATAAACAGTGCTGTAGAGGAGACAGACCCCACTGTAGTTGATGGGAAGAGATGCACCCAGGCAGGTAAAGGGCATACTTCAGACAGTATGGAAACAAGTAGACATTGGTACCCCAGAGGAACAGATAGCAGTAAAGGTTCTGCAATATATATAGTCAGATATTCCTGTGGAAGGCACTGCAATCACTTATCAGGGTCTAGATGGAAGTACAGGCAAGGTAAGAGAATTCTGATCTTTTGAACAAAAGAAAATCAACTGATTGAATATTGCTAGATGTTTTGTGTTATGCTGATTTTCTGGGTATTTCATAAAAAGGGCCAAAAGGGATATAGCTACTGAAAGAGGTGTTCAGATGGAGGACATAAAGGCACAATAAATCTGTTTATTAAAACTTATTTGATTTACAGGGAAGGTACCTGAGTGATGAAAAATTCCTGAGACATTTTCTGGCTGAAGATAGGCTTGGTCCCAGAGAGTGAAATGTGGTTTAGCATGCGAATGAGTTCAGTGTGGAGAGAAGAGAAATGTGAGGA